GACAGTAAAGAAACAACTGAGGATGTGTCCCTTCCCCTCACTGGCATGTACATCTGCACGTCATCCGCATAACAATGAAAAGAAACACCATTCATTCATTCATTTTCTACCGCTTAATCCCTGAACAGGGTCGCGCTGGAGCCAATCCAAAGAATAAATCAAAATCAAATCCTGGCCGGCAATTGGGCGAAGGCGGGGTACACCCTGGACAGGTCGCCAATCCATCCCAGGGCTAACACATAGACCCACAATCACACACACGCACTCCTATGGGCAATTTAGAGAGGCCAATCAATCTAAGCTGCATGTCTTTGGACTGTGGGAGGAAGCCGGAGTACCTGGAGAGACCCCACGCAAGCACGGGGAGAACATGCAAACCCCACACAGAAAGGTCCCGGGTAAATATAAAGAAAAGAGCAGGGGCCCCAAAACTGAGCCCTGCGGAACCCCAGATACCAACGGGATGAACGAGGACTTAACATCAGCAATACCAACAGACATTGTCCTATCCGACAGGTAAGACCTGAACCACTCCAAAGCAGTACCACAGATGCCCACTAACTCCTCAAGTCGAGATAATAGGATATCGTGGTCAACCGTGCCGAAAGCAGCAGTCAGGATTCAACAAGGCAAGAATCACGTAGCCACCAGCATCTGTTGTCAAGTAGATGTCGTTAAAAACCTTTAACAATGCGGACTCTGTACTATGCCAAGCTTTAAAACCAGATTGAAAAGTCTCCAATACATTATGCTCATCTAAAAAGGATTTCAACCAGACCCACTCCAAAGCAGTACCTCAGATGCCCACTAACTCCTCAAGTCGAGATAATAGGATATCGTGGTCAACCGTGCCGAAAGCAGCAGTCAGGATTCAACAAGGCAAGAATCACGTAGCCACCAGCATCTGTTGTCAAGTAGATGTCGTTAAAAACCTTTAACAATGCGGACTCTGTACTATGCCAAGCTTTAAAACCAGATTGAAAAGTCTCCAATACATTATGCTCATCTAAAAAGGATTTCAACTGTATAAAAACCACTTTCTTTAAAATTTTCCAAATAAAAGACAGCTTGGAAATAGGCCTAAAATTATTCAAAATAGAATGATCAAGACCTAGCTTCTTAAGCAACGGTTGCACAACTGCATGTTTACAATGTCGAGGGACAACTCCAGAGGACACACTGCTATTAATAATAGCGAGAACCAGCATTCCTATAAAGACCTCCTTAAATAAGGACGGGGGAATAGCATCTCTAGGGGAGCCAGATGGCTTAACCTGGCTAACCACCTCCTCCAAAAATGGGAGAGTCACCAGCTCAAATGTATCAAACACAGCCAGGCAGGGGGTGCAGTCTGACAGATCCAACACAGGAGCTGGAACAGAAGCCCTTATAGTGGCAACCTTTCCATTAAAAAACTGTAAAAAATGTTCACACATCTCAACTGATGCTTCCAAACAGGTAGACTGTGGAGGGTCCAACACAGACCCAATTGTTTTAAACAGAACACGCGGATTGTGACTGTTAGATACAATAATATTTGACAAATATTCTCGTTTAACTTCTTCAACAGTCTTCTGATAGTTACGCCAACAGTCCTTTAGGATTTGGAACGAAACCTGTAGTCCGTCCTTCTTCCACTGACGCTCCGCCTTACAGCAGGATTGTCTGGCTGCTCGAGTCTTAGTGCCAAACCAGGGTTCCGGCCTCGCCCTCGGTTGCAGACTTTTCGGCGAGGCCACCAAATCCATTATGGAGCAACAGGAAAGGTCGAACCAGGAAGTGAGTCCCTCTGCATTGCCAGCGGCCACGTCCGATTGAGCAACAGCTTGGTCAAACGCAGCAACAAATAGTCCAGCAGTAGAAGAGGTAATTATCCGGTGGCACCGAGTAGGCACACGTACTGCACCCACTGCACAAGAGAAACCAGCCTCGAATACAATAGGCATATGATCAGAAAAAGCATTTATACATATATCCAGGTTTGATACAGGGACACCATAAGAAACAATAAGATCCAACATATGTCCCTGCTCATGTGTAGGACCAGTCACATATTGCACTAAATCAAAAGCATCAAGAGCAGCTAAAAATTCTTTCACCAGTGGTTTATCTGGGCAACACACATGTATATTAAAATCACCCAATAAAAGAATATGATCATAATAAATAAGACAGCTCATTCATTGTTTTCCACTTCATAACTACTCAAGTTGTTCTTTGCATTGGAGTTTGCCGCACAATCTCTTTAGATTTTCATTATAGCATTCCTGGCTTTCTCAACTTCTCTTTTCCATTTCTGTGTGAGATTCCTGGGTGCACACAGCCCTGCTGTCTCATGCGCTTTTATGGGCATTTGGGGGCGGTAACCTATGTTAATTAGGAACAACCGGCACACACTTTTAACTTAAGAATATGTGGCATTCATCAGTAGAAGAACAGGTGCAAACAGTTCTGCAGTTTAAGTCGGTGAGGTCCACACAACTGTTTTTAGCCCCTGAAGAATAAAAACTGAGAACTGAAGAAGGGTGTACTTTCTTTTTACCATGACTGTTTTACTTCAGACTGCTATGGTCTTTTGTAATTGTGTTTCCAGAAAGGTCCATTACTGCCAAATAAATAAACAGCTTCAAAAGGTCATTTGAGCCTTATCTGATAAGGAACAAACCCTAAGGAGTTCCTTGTCTCCGTCCGTGGAGTCTTCGGGGCTGAAGTGAGCGAGCATCTCATTGAGGAGTTTGACGCTGTTGTTGACGGCCTCCAACGTACTTTTTTGCTTTGTCACTTTCTGTGTTCTCACTTCATCCTGAGATGGAAAAAAAGTTGACTTGCATTTATTGGCAGAAGCCACTGAACTGCACACAACTTTTTTTCTTTGGCTTAATTAAATCACAAACAAGACATTTCATTTTGATGCTGACACACCTCCTTGACCATGTTCTTGATGAGCCGATTTGCCTCTTGCAGATCTTCGGGCTTTTTGCTTTTCAGCAGCTCTGCTAGTCTCTGCAAAGATGTGAGAGAACGATCTGTGAATAAATAATCAAGCCCAATTTCCACAGATTACCCAAACACAAGCAACAATGCTATACCATGTCCCAGAGTCTGATAAAACAATTTCCATCGATCAACTGCGGGCAACACAAAGTAAACATGCAGTCATGACCTTTTTTGGTGGTTTTTGGTGTGCTGTACCCAGTGGATAATTGCAGTGATGTCAAATGCACATAAATCTGAGGGATGCCATTAAGCAAAGTATTTATTCAGTGACATGAGAGAGGAAGAAAACACAAAAGACCCTCTTCTTGTTGTGATCCTTTAGAACCTCTCAATCTTCAGTATGTAGTGAGAAAATCCTATAGTCAAAATTTCCATTAAAGAATGAAAAACATGAAAACATATTTTATGAAAGACTAGAGCTGCTGTTTATTTATGTGATTTAAGTGGTTCTACATTTTGGGAAAGACACTAAATAGCTTTCTTGCAGACAGAAGAGAAGTTCGATACCGCCCACATAACTGTTTGATAAATGTGAAGCTACAGCTAAGAGAGAGAGCCTAGCTCATCCTAAAGACTGGAACAGGGGGAAACAACTACCCTGGCTCTGCTGAAAGCTCTGTTGTAAAGCTCACTAACCAACATGTTATATGTAATTTGTTTAATCAAAACAAAAACCAGAGTGCAAAAACAACAAGTTGTGGTTTTAAGGGGAGTTATGCGCTGGACTGTTTTCTTAGTCAGGAATAGTGACTTCTTAGAGATAATCTTCTGCCTGTAGCTTCACATTCAGTGGATCAATGTCAAAGGGCAACTGAGTGCAGAAGAGACATAAGTTAACCTATTAATTGAGGTCTGTTTATGTTAAATTTACATAGGACCTGAACTCCTTAAATGTCAAAATAAAAATTGGAAAACTGGAGGTGACCCCAAGCTTGTGAATGGTAGTGTATGAGATATGATCGGTCAGTGAGCGAGTAGCAGTGATTACACAACCAGATCCAACATCGTTCTTCTTACCTTGCTCTTCTTCTCATCGTCAAACACAGGATTCTTGGGTCGCGGAGAAGGTGATGGTATTAATGTGGCATCAAGAGGGATTTCTGGGTCAGCTAAAACAACACCTAGAATAAATTAAAAAATAAAATGAATTAATTAATTGATTTTTAATGTGTTATTTAATTGCCATTTGTTTTATGTGGTTGATGTCTCACCCTGTGCTTTCAGCATCTGATATGCTTCACAGATCTTGGCTTCATCTGGTAGAGACACTGTCCAGCTATACAGCATTTCAATCACTTTTGTTTTCACCTTTTCTGATACTTTGTCTCCTAGATACTAAAATATAATAGATGTACAGCTTAGAGTGATAAAATCAAGCATCAATGTAAGTAATCATATCGTCATTACAAAGGGTTTTAACATTTATGTTACTTACTTTGGGTGAAACCACCTTAATTAATTCATTTAAAAACCTAAATTTCCCAACTTCATTGTGAAACCTTCGCCCGCAGTTTTTCATACAAGCCTCAAGAACCTACCAAAGGAAAACAAGCTTCAATATGTATGTTTGACTTGTGCGATGCTAAGCTGAAAGACATCAAAATGACAAACAAGGTGTAATGATTAGCTACACTACAGACCGTCAGTGCTTGTATTGCCTCCCATTCCTGAGGGGACTGAATCTTGTGGGCCAACAGTCTAACTGATATCTGTGGGCTGAGAAATATGATAGAAAAAAGTAACCCAATGCAAACTCAATAACAAAAGCAATGCACAGCACAGGGTTATAATATGGGTCATATAAAGCTCAATGTGTTTACCACAATGACCACACAGATCAGCAACAACATACATATGTGATTTACTGAATGAATGTGGAGTGCCTCAGGGTTCTGTTTTGGGACCTAAATTATTTATATTATACATTAATGATATATGCAAGGTTTCTGATTTAGTGAAAGTGGTTTTATTTGCTGATGACACTCTCTGGACGGGTTTCACAGGAACTTGAGAAGATAAAGAAATGGTGTGATAGTAATATACTATCTCTGAACTTGGATAAAACTAAATTTATGGTATTTGGGAATCGTAGACTAGATAATGAACTTCAATTGAAAATTGGGGGAGCTAATATAGAACAAGTATATGAAATTAAATTTCTAGGTGTCATAGTTGATGACAAATTCTCCTGGAAATCTCATATCAGATATGTTCAGCACAAAATAGCAAAGAATATATCGATATTGGCAAGGGTTAGATATATTTTGGACGGGAAAGCACTACGCATTTTGTATTCTTCATTGATTTTACCATACTTAGAGTATGGCGTTGAAAACTGGGGAAATGCATACAAAAGCTCACTTCAACCATTGTATATATTACAAAAAAGAGCGATAAGAATTGTGCATAAGATGGGGTACAGGGATCACACCAATGTAGCTTTCATACAGTCTAAATTGTTAAAATGTTTTGATTTAGTGGGACATAAGACTGCTGTGTTTATGTATAAAGCCAGGAAAAAATTATTACCTGGTGGAATTCAAAAACTATTTAATGAAAGGGAAGGGGGATACAATTTAAGGGGTCAGTTAAATTTAAAAATTCATGTTATACGTACAACCAAAAAAAGATTTTGTATTTCCATAAGTGGGGTAAAACTATGGAATAATTTAAGTGCGGACATAAAAAATAGTAATAGAATTGATGAGTTTAAACATAAATATAAAGGTATGTGTCAATCAAGATATATGCAAGAACAGGCTTAATGATTAATTAGATGGAACACTGTGGGTGTGGTGTATGAATGTTAATACTCTGTAATAATTCTTTAATATATTACTTGTGTGGTGTAGAAGAGAATTATCTATTTAGAGATACTGCTTGCAAACCAATGATGGTAAGATGATGTCAGGGGGTAGGACTGGATAAGTCTGACTTCTTCCTACTCCATTCAAGCATGTACTAGGTATAAGCAAATTGATATTGGATTAGCATTTGTTGGATATGTGTAAAATTATGTGTGTTGATATATCAACTGCCTTTATATGCTTGAAAGAATAAATAAATCAAATCAAATAAATCAAATCAAATGTGACCATACCCTTCTAGCTCCTTATTGATTTGATCACAGAATCCCATTATGTACTCCCAGTCTTCCTGTCTGTTGGAAGGGTTCGTGGCTTTGTCTGAAAACAAGGACAGAATTTCTCATGACCATGTGGCCCTGATGGCACGTTACGCATTTTGCCAACAGATGAATCCCTTTCTAAGAACACCTTACAAACGGCCTCAAAAAAGCTGTTATCCAATGCTTATCCAAGCTTATTTTATGTTATGAATTCTCTCTTTAGCCCCAAGGCACTTCACTGATCCAGTATATTGCTGCAAGTCCTGTTTGAGCTTGGATAAGCGAACGCTTGGAGGTGTTTACTCTGCAGCTATGGCCCTTATCTCCAGAAAGCAAGGTCTAACTGATTTGGGTCCCCAGAAAAATAGAATAATCACATTATGCAAGTATTTCAACATATTAACTATTACTTCAAGTAACAATACCAAAACAGTGTCACACATTCATATCTTTTTTTTTTTTTATTAAATATAGTCATACTGCTGCTGTGCTGTTTATCTGACCTGTCCTTTCTGCACTAGCTCTCCCACAGCAGCAGCATGTTAGCTGCTGCCCTTCTCCCCTATGGCAGGCAGTGTTAACATTTAAAAGGTTTCACTTGAATATCCATAATTGCATTTTGGATATCTAAAATGGCATTTTGACTAGGCAAAATTACAATGCAACTACTCAAAATTATAATTTAAGATATCTTCAATTAAATTTTGACTAGTAAGAATTCCTCGTTGACTTGAGTAGGAAAACTAATTTAAGATAACTACAATTTAATATTGCCAATCCAAAATATAAATTCCAGATATCTATAATTACATTCCAACTAGCCATAACTCAAATTAAAGATATCTTTAATGTAATTTTGACCAGCCATAACTCCAGTTGCAGATGTGTTTAATTTGGCACATTTAAAAAGAGATCCAAATTATCTTTTTCAAGATTATCCCATTAAAGTCAGTGAGGAATTCTTACTAGTTAAAATGCAATTGCAGATATCTTAAATTATAGTTTTGACTAGTCATAAATACACTGCAGATATTTTAAAATGTAAATCCTGTACACCTATTTAATATTAAAAGGGCTTGTTATTCACAACTCTCTCGTCAGCCATCTCTTTCTGACCCTCTCTTGCTGCTTCAGCGGGATCCAGTGAACATTCGAAACCCTAATCACACTGATCAGCTTTCCCACGTGTATTTCGGGGGGGGGCATTCAGCCTCAGAATTTATGAACTAGCTATAACTTTACCCACTTGCAGAGCAGTCCATATACATCCATGCCATGTACAGCGTGCTGACTTCGGTAACAGCTGTATGTTAATAACATATCGCAAGAGTTTGATCTCCGCGACTGACAGTGTTGTGATTAAATAACGGAGAGGAGGAGCCGTTCACAGATGGTCTGTCATCATTTGTTTGTGTGTGCAATAGAGAAATATAGCGTGGCACGGAGGTACAGAGTGAATACATGCTCTACGCACGACACTACAGCGAAATAAGATTTAACCTATTTTAAATCAATTTGTGGCGGTCAATTGCGATATTATGGTGTCCCTCCACAAATAAATCAATGTATGGGAAACAATGAAACTGATATGGGCTAGCAATATCCATCAGTAGCCAGCAGCTGTCTGTTAGCCACTTTCTGACAACACACAAACCAGCACGATACTTTTCAGATATAGCAATGTCAAGTAAGTTCAACGAATGTTGCGTACACATAGTGTTATGCTGCACATAAATGCACATCCGCAATATGAATAAGTAACGCAGAAAAGGAGTTTGAGAATATACTTACTAAGCCAAGACTCGAGCGACTCACCATCGTCCGCCATATTTGATTTCTGAGGCAAACAACACGTGACTCCTGTTGCCTTCACGTACTACAAAAAACATGGGAGTTCTTCCTCTTCTTCTTTTTTTACTAGCGGGTTGCAAACCAGTGTATTTAGTTGTATACCTGTCGCTTCAGTGACTCGCTAACATGTTTAAAACGGTGTGAAAAACATTCACTTTGTCTTCACAGTAATTAAAAAAAATTCCCTGCCCCACTTGATCTAATTATTGATGCAATCATTTCATATTTGTATCCCACAACTCATTTTATTCTGTGGCCATATGATGGTGCTAACAGCTCAAAGATCTTAAGTGTGTGTTTATTATGTCACATTCAGCAGTGAAACAAGCAGTATTTTCTTGTAATCTCTGTGATTTCATGTGTGTGACAAAGGGGTCCTCAACACTTATTGAAATGAATTTCTTTTAAATTGCATGCTTTGTGCAGTAAAACATAAATTAAGCATATTCATTTCAAATCTATTAAGTAAAACAAATTATCAAACTGATGAAAAAGTATTTTTCAATAACTAGAGAAGATTTCTCTGCTGAGTCATATAGCAAGCAATTGGTAGCACAAATGTTCTGTTTCACATAGTAATTAAGAAGCAGGTATATAAATACCAGACTGGATGCAACTCAATGACTTTTGAAAGTTTTACTTACCCGCAGAAATAGCAAGATGTTCATCTGTCACATTCAAACATGGACTTGAACTAAATTAATAACAGAGATTTTCTTTCTCAGTACCCATTTGAATGGGAATCACTGTTTTTTTCTTTTCAGTCTTTTTATTTTGTTGTTGCTTCTTTTGTTTTTCAATTTCAAGCTGCATGTCAGTATCCAGTTTATAAAGCCGTGAGAGGCTCCAAGCTCACTCCAGGAGCATGAACACCTACTCCTGCAGAGGCTCGCCATAAAATAACCAATTAGGAAAAAGGACATGTAGCTGGAACAAAAACAAAGATGCTCTAGGAGCTCAGTCATTTAGGCTCACACTGAAACAAAACATTTATCCAGTAGTGATCACGGGAGGTATTGGGGAATACTGACCACTGCTTGGGGCTTGTATTTGGTTTGTTTATTTACTATAGTAAAGAAGCATTTTGTTCTACCGTTGAGTAGTGCCACCATTTTCAGGTAGCAAATAACATGTTCAATGTACTACTGTAAACAGGGCAATTACACACATCATTAAACAGGCATGAGTAGCTATATTTTAGATGACCTTTGGATTACATACACATTTGTGTAATTGGCAATGATAACATGCATTCACACATGGATGGGATAGCCAACAGGGCAAAGGCCAAAAGAGTCATGGTGCTTGCCTGTAAAATATCCCAGAAAGAAAGAGACGGTATTAAGAGAGAGAGAGAGAGAGAGAGAGAGAGAGAGAGAGAGAGAGATGATGGCCAAAATGAGACACAAAACTACAAAGCAATGCAACATGACTATAAAGAGATGCAAATGGTAATAAAAAAAAAAGTCCACCAAGAGACGCTAAACAACTGCAAGGAGATGCAGAAGGACTACAAAAAGAAGCACAATGAACATAAATATATGCAAAATGACCACAATAAGGTGAAAAACATCTTCAAAGTCAACCTTAAAAATGTATGCTTCAGTCTTCGTATCTTGCTTCAATATAAGAGAGTTGGTGAGGGGCTCGTACAGTACTTGTCTGTGCCCAGGAGCCCACTGTGTAATCCATGCATGTATACTCCACCACTTGTTTTCAACATCACATTATTTGTGCATTTATTTATTCCAAAAACCAGAAAAACCTAAGGCTTGTACTTGTACATATGTTCATGAAATGTTTCAAGCAGTTTCAAGTGTGAAAGATTAACATAAAAAACAACCTTTGGAAATGTGTTGTGGCATGTGTGTAGGAAGAGCAGAATTGTTTAGAAATGTCAGGAGTGTTTGGTGTTTGTCTAGCTGGAAAATGTTGTTTTCACCCTGTGTGTCCGGATTGGCAAGTAAAACTGCCAATATTGCTTGAGATGAACTCAATTACAATGCCAGACAAGATAAAGTAGATAACTGTCCTTTTACTATTCACAACTAAGAGCATACAGTGCAGAAGTCCAGAAAACACAATCAAGTCAATATTACCAGTCCAGGATCAGTGCCGGCAAAAACACAGCAGAGGGATCCAACAGCGGGAGGTTGGTGAGGGAAGTCTGATGGTCGATACACAGAAAACAATCAACTCCAGGAGGGTAAAGCAGTACTTGGTGGTCAAAAGGCAATCCAGGGTCAGAACAGGAATAACTGGTAACATGCAATAACACTGGAACATCTGGACAGTACTCTAGAACAATCTAGCAGCTTCCTGGTGAAAGGAAGCTGCCTATAAAGGGGTGTCAACAGGTGCAAACAATTGCCATTGATTAAGGTAAAGAGCCCATAGCTGAGATGAGACTGTAACAGGAAGTAATGTCAAAATAAAAGCATGAGATCGGAAGCAGTGGGGCAGAATCATGACACTGTGTCCATATATATAGCGTACAAAAATTCTTAACACCTCTGTGATCTTTTCACAATGCATAATGCTGCCTGTGTGTGTTGTTCCTCAACTCTGCCTCAGGGCCTTATATTGAGTATCCAGGACATCTGATCAAGATGTATTGGTGCAAGTGGTGTTTTGGTGTGTCTATGTTCATTTCAGTGATTTAACAACAAAGAAGAATGTTTCAAACGCCCATGCAAGTAGCAAGAGGACTGTAGGAAATTAGGAAACAGACGTGCTACCCACACCACACACCATGCCTTTGTTGCAAGATATGGCCCTCAGTTTTTCTTTGCAGCCAGTAAACATCAAAGCCTGCCTCCTTCTGAAAAAAAGAAAAGATTGACAGTGGGACAGTTACTTAAGGCAATAATCCTGTAATAATGAGCAGCCTTGGTTCTAAAGACTGTCTCAACAAAAAGATGAATACATGTCTTAAAATGGGTCATATCCTTTTATTTTTTAATGATTTCGACTAGAATTAATAAATACTCAACTGTGTGCACAAACAGTTTGTGGAATGCATTTGCACACGTCACTCCAGCTTCCTCTCTGGCACTGTCATGACTGAGCAGAATCCTGAACACCCTAAAACCAAAACAAACAAAATGACTGAGGAGGCAGCACAAACACACTAGACATGTGTCCCCCATCACTGTAATGAATAGAAGAAGGGAATTCCACATACATAAAAGATTATTTTCTGTCTTGTCCACACAACTACCACCACTTCACCCACTCAGCCAAATTATCTACATTTAATACAAGTGATGAAGGTGCGAATGCATGCACGTGCGCACGCACACTCACACACACACACACACACAGATCTATAATGAGCTGAATGTGGACTGGAGCTACAGTATGAATCTCCATGTCGGGGGGTGCCTGGAGACTCCCAATAACATCTTCACCATAGTTTGGTTGGTGATTTGGACATAGTCACACTGTGGTAAATGAATAACATAAAGATTGTTTATGAATTTTTGACTGGAGTTCAACTGCAGTGCTGTACTTGGAATCAGCCAGTGTTTAACAATAGACCAATTATTGACCCTTTGGATGGAAATTTTACCAAATCATGTATAAATAAAGTGTAATGCTAAGTGAAAGATGCTTTTCCTGTTTGATAGTGTCCAGACTCCACAGCAGAGAGAAGAGTTCACATTTTCCTGTTTCTGTTTGTTTGGTGATCCAATATCAGTATTGCAGGGTGTATGCAAGGCACAGTGTTCTGCACACAAGGACATCTTGTTGTGTTTACATTCATAGCCAAATTATGAATAGGAAGTGTGCATGTCAGACTTTGCTCTTTGCCTATAGAGACCTTTTGTTTTCCATACTGCACTGAGCCTCTGCATAAATGTTTCATAATACCACAAAAGACAGATCTTGTGTTACTGGCTTATTTTATTTCCATAACAACCCTGAAAATCACTGTTCAGTATAAGCAATTTAAAAACAGCTGAAGCAAAAAATGAATACTATCAATATGTAAAGAATTCATTGTTCCTTGTGAAATAGGATTTTACAATAAAAATCCCAACCTTGAAAACTGAACTAGTAACAAAATTAATTCAGACTGTCCTCTCCAGCAAATTAAGGCTATTTCATTTTGAGAAACTGCTTAGTAAAACTCATGGCTTTCACAGTCTCTCTAATGCAGCAAAAAACTTTAAGCTAATGCTTTGGAATAAAACTAAAGGATTTTTGCTATCAAATAAGATGATTCTGATCACATTAGACTGGTCAATATCATACTGTTTGGACCTTTCCTAATTTGTACATCTCAAATATATTTCAGATCAACAGTCTTTGTTCTAAATTAGGGTTGGTATTATGGCAAACCACAGTAGGCACTGCTAATCCAGATATGGATAACAAAACAGATTCTGTCACCTGCATCATGTCAGCTGACATATAGTCAAGCTTTAAAGGTGCAACAGCTGAGATTCAAGGGGTTCTTAGGAAGCGGAGCAGGATTCCCGTTCCGCCTTGATGGTGTATGAATGTCTCCATGTCTAGTGAGGAAGAACTGGTACTTGGCATAGGCATAAACTCTAAGGTTTGGTGAGAAAATCTGTATCAAAGCTGTAACTGGAACATCCCTGTTATAAAGTACATACCAGAAGCACATGAAGTGTGCCTCGGTGGTGCTTTTCAGACAGGGAGACAATTACCTAACCAAATAACTGAACAAATGCTGTGTGTACAGAGGACATTATCCGGACAAAGTAAAGAGAGTGTACTTCTGCAAATGTGCTTGAAATTTGACATTTGCTGGTTTGTTTCACACTGGAGCATGATTACCAACATTCCCATGGAGAAAGGTTCTGTCCTTTCACAATGAAACCACAAAATTGGCATAGTTTGTGAAAACAGCTTGAGAACTCAAATGTATGGAAGCCCGTTTCCGCCAGTACAAAAAAATATTTTTGGATCTACAAAGTCATAATTATGAGATAAAAAGTCGAAATTTTGACTTACCTAAGTCATAATTATGAGATAAAAAGTCGAAATTTCGACTTAGTAAGTCAAAATTATGAGATAAAAAGTCGAAATTTCGACTTACCTAAGTCATAATTATGAGATAAAAAGTCGAAATTTTGACTTACCTAAGTCATAATTATGAGATAAAAAGTCGAAATTTTGACTTACCTAAGTCATAATTATGAGATAAAAAGTCAAAATTTCGACTTAGTAAGTCAAAATTATGAGATAAAAAGTCAAAATTTCGACTTACCTAAGTCATAATTATGAGATAAAAAGTCAAAATTTCGACTTACCTAAGTCATA